ATACAGACTAGGTGTGGCCTCCCCTGGGTACAGTCTGTGGTACAGAAAACGGTCAATAGCTTTGTCCTGCTCCAAATTTTTCAGGCACTCTATAAACTTCTTCTTGTAACCACTTCCTGGATCTCTTTTCAGAGGTTCATAAGTGGTTAAGTCACTAAGGAGTGTCATAACTTTCTCATGATAGTCTTTCTGGTTCAAAATCACTGTGCACCTTCCTTTGTCTGCTGGGAGAATGATGATGTTTTTGTCCTTGCTAAGAGTGGTGAGTGCATCCCTCTCCTCTCTACTGATGTTGGAAGGTGGTGGTTTGGCATTGCTGAGGCAGGATGAAACTTTGATTCTGAGCTGTTCTGCTTCAGCCTCTTTAATTTTGTTGTTGCGGATGGCTTATTCTGTGGCCTGTAGTATCACTCAGCCCTCTGTGAACAGTAAACAGCCATCAGGTGCTAATGATCCATTGTTAGGCTGATGGTCCTTCTTGAGCATGTGATCAGCTGGTTTTGGTTGTCAGCAGCAAACTGGTTGATCCACTCTGAGAAGGTGCTATTTAAGAGACTGAGCTGAACACAGCACCTCAGACTGAGGAAGACTTTCGGATGAGAGACGAAACATTTCTATATATTTTTTTGTTGTTTTGCTTTGTTTGTTTTTTTGAATGCCCAGAGGACCAGATTTAACTTTTTTAGATTTTTCTACCTGGGTTATTGAGCATGCATCAAGATATTGAAAAGTAATTAAATAATCGCAAATGGACTTTTTCCTGACGGGATAAAAAGCTTGTGTAAAAAAACTACCTAAGCAACTTTGTAAATTTGGACCAATTTCTACTTTGGGCTAACTAATAAAAATGTTTGTAATCTAAAATATATGCGCTCTTTGTGAACTCATGTATATACACAAAAAGCATGTCATGTGATGTCAAACAGGCAGAATAAAACCCAAAGCATTTAGTTATTTTGTGTGGAGGTCTTTGGAGAGTGGCTTCCTGAAAACAATCCCAGTGCAAAAGTCACAGCAGATGCCAAATTATACAGGCTGTGAAAATTAATGGGGCAGCTCAGAACAGACACCAATTAAACATGCAAAGGCTCACAGAAAGCTGAATGCGGCCACCAGATTCAACAATGTGAATGTGATATCAATACTGAAGCAAAAAGCTTTGTTCCGTTTGCACTGAATAATTTGTTAGTTCTTTGGGGATTTTTCTCCAAAGAACACACAGTTTAGTATGCAGCTGAAATGAGCATTTATTAAATGAAATGATAACCTGCAGTAAATGGAGCAGCCTCCCCCCTGCGGCTGTCTCCCCATCATCCTCGCAGTCCTGCAGGAAGCTGTGTTTGTCCTCACAGTAAATTCTGCAACAGACAGAGCGCCAACAGCTTGGCATTAGGCAGCAGGGCAGACATTTTGGTCAGAGTATGACGCTGTGACACCCGACAACCTCTTCACAGGAAAAGTTTGCTACACAGTCTAAATGTCACCATCTTCTCCCCTCGTGAGTAATGACCACGCAGCCCAACACTGACCTCATTAGACAGTGCTAGAAAAACATGCACACAGGAACACAAAGACACAGTGAAAAGCAAAAACAAATTCACAAAATACCTAAAAAATACAGTTTTATTTACTCTGGTCCTTTATTGACCTTTTACTGCAGTAACATTCTTCTTCAGAGAGGTTGAATTGGTTTGAACTGATTTACTTTACAGTAGTCCCTCGCGGGCCTGTCATTGGAAGATCGCTGGGTCAACTCCCGGTACCGACAACATCAAAATGTGGGTGGGATAGGTGAGGCACCCACACCTGTCTCCACCCTCATTTGTCCCACTCTGGGCCCTTGAGCAAGGCCCTTTAACCCCCACCATCTGCTCCCCCGTGCACCCTAGATGGCAGCTCTCTGCTCCACAAAGAGGCTGTGGTAGCTCAGTGGTCTGTGGTTGCGTTAGGAAGGGCATTTGGTGTAAAAATAATTGCCAGTCATCGTGCGGCTTAGTTTGCTGTGGCGACCCCTGAAGAAGGGAGCAGCCGAAAGAAGAAGAAAAAAAGTCTGTCAGTGGCGATTACAGTACAGTGGAGGAATGAAAGAAAACTACAAAATGGCGGTGCCTGTCCTAATTATTGTTTTTTTGTCATTAACTTTTTCGCATCCACATGAGTTCTGTACAGTGATATTAGTGTACAGTCTACAATCGCGTGTAAAAAACAAAAGTGCAATATTTCTACGTCCACAAGCCACAATAGAGGGAAAGTCGAAGTGCAAAGTAGCGAGGGACTACTGTACTCTTTTTCATCTTCCTATAATCAGACACACCATCACACAAACTCAAAGATAAAAGCCTGCTTTGCATTATAAAGTCCCAACAAATGTATATACCGGATACA